TGTTGAATGCTCCATGTCTACTCAGGAGCTGAACGACCCGATCCGCGAAAGGGGTCCCCATGCGCTGTAAGCTATCGCATGTTAGCCGCCTCCACTTCCGGACCTCTTCCGAGGTCATTCCCCTCAGTTCGCCTATGCGTTGCGCGTACCATCCCCCCAGCTCGAATTCTGGAGTCATCAGCAACGAGGTCGGAATGGTAAGCTCAGGGTCTGTTCTGGCCTCGTTATCCATTATAACGTATTCGTCTCCTGACACACAGTAAACCAGGAACCGCTCTGGGTGGATGGGTCCCCACGGATCCGGGTCCCTGGGATAGATCCCTACGTCCAGGAGGTATTTAGCCTTCCTGGACAATACTTCACCCATTTCAGTGGGCTTAGCCCCATGGATATCTCTCTGTGAGATCCGCTTCGTTCTCCTTGTTGAGATCGTGTTATCGCTAACCCTTGTGTTGTCCAGGATGTTCTCATATTGCAAGGACATGGACGCGCACCCCAGGTCAACGGCGTCATTTGATGTCGTGGTCTCCTCCAGATATCGCATCCGGTCCATCTCATTTAGATCCACCTCAATACTGTAATTTTGCATTCCCGGTGGTGAGTTCGCCTTCCCATCACGTTTCACTGTGGTCTTCTGAGGGCAATTTCTAGATATATGGCCCGGCTGATGACAGACATAGCATAACCCTTCAGCGGCATGTCTCTCTTTCTCAGCTGGGCTCATTCTATCATTCCTCTTTTCTGTGATTTGAGGTTTAGGACGCCCGCTATCTCTTGGTTGCCCCCCTGTTGGTCTGGGGTGTCCATTCGATGGTCGATCACTCGACGATCGATCATCCCTCCGCGGGACGCGGCCCTTTCGTCGCCGTCCATCCCTCCTATCACTACGTTCCTCATTTTTGGGGTTTGTGCCTCCCTTCCTCTCACCGGCCTGGTCAGTACCATTTGTACTCTTTTCCTTTCCACACCGATCACGATTCCTAGATGGCACTGAGTGTGCTATCTCGATTATTTCAGCAGTGTTCTTTACTTGTCGGAATGAAGAGGTTTCCGGATTCAATTCCTTCTTCCATAGCTCGGTTTGCAGCATAGAATTGAGTCCCGTCCAAAGGCGAGTCACTTTCTGTCGTTCTGCTACATCCCCAATCATGTTCCATAGCTCACTCAGCTCGTATATGTACTCCCTTACTGACTTATCATTCTGATAGCAACGGTTCAACTTCTCGCGCTGCTTCATCCTGAAATCAATGGGGAAACAGTGGTTGAATAATTCTGTAAAGAACCTGCGAAGCCTCCAACGGTATGGGTCTCCAGACACTTCCCTCGTGTAGAACTCATGAGCACGACCTTTCAGGTAGTGGGCAAGTATAAACACCCTCCTTTTCCTCTCAACCTGACCATCTTTCACATAGGCCGTCCCCTCAGTCAGAAATTGATGGAACGCCCTTGAATCTGGGGCCCCGTCATAATAGACCGGGGGAATAGGCTTTAAGGTATTTTTCTTACCCCTTTTATTCTTCTTTTTCTTACTGCAGCGCTTTCTAGAGCTGTTCCGCGACTCGTCCGATGACGAGTCACTAGATTCAGAAGACTCAGACGAGGAACTCGACGATTCAGATGAACTCGACGAGGAGCTGGAGTCACTTCTGTCCTCGCTGTCACTAGGATCTGTTGGTGTAAGTACTCTCCTGCCCTTGGATTTGGGCTTCTTCTTACTTTTGCTTCCTTTTAGCTGATCGAGCGCCTTCCCGATATAACTTCGGGGCGCGACTTGCTGTACCGGGTCCATCGCTTGGGGTGTCATCCGGTTGGGTCCTGGACTGGATGCTCATTCCAGGACCCTCTCCACCATCCCGTTTACTGGGTTGGTGGCTTCAAGGTGAGTTTGGTGTTTCTTGGGTTTCTTAGACCCTTCCTTCAATGCTAACTTCTTCTCCAGTTCCCTCAGGCGAGCTTCGTAACGGTTGGTGAGTCGTTCCTTCACGGCCCTTACTGCCGCTTCTGCCTTGAAGCGCGATACGTAACTGGCACTTTCATTCCAGGTATCTTCCCTGGGCTCTGTCACCTCACTGCTGTCTCCCTGCGGCTTATCGGATGTCTCATGGTCAGAGTCCGGTTCCCTTTGACCTCCTCCATTTCCCTTCGCCAGACGAAAGGATTCTAATGCTGCCCTTTGAGCATCTACATCGACCTCGTCGTCCTCAAACTCGGTTCCGCCCCAATTTCTTGGGTCAGGGGCTTTGCCCTTTTCCTTAGAAGGTCCTTCCCGCGGGACAATGTACTGTCCCTTGAGGTATTTCGACTGACAGCCCTCTCTCGGGTCTCGATCCTCTTGCGATCGCTTCCTGTCAGTTTCTTCTCCGCTAACCTTACCAGGTGTTCTTGTTCCTGGTTCAATTCTGAGGCTCGTGGGCCTCCTGCTGGTACTTCGCGTGAGGAGCTTCTTCTCCCGCGTTTCCGTTGGACACTTGTCCATTCAGCGCTCGTCTGGTCGTCACCAGATTCTGCGGATTGTTCATCACTCGAACTTTCATTCCCGCTCTTAAGGTCAAAAGTAACCTTAGATCTCTCTTTCTCAGATTTACTACCTACTACACTTTCCTCTGTGGGGTCTACTGATGCCGATTTATCGGCCGTCATTTCTTCCGTCCTCAATCCCGCGGATTTGACTAATCCCACAGGTGTCGCCTCGAGCCCTCCGGGCATCGAGGGAATTCGCGTCAACACAATGTCGCTATATAAGCGGATCGGTGTGTCGACGGAGTTCGCAGGGGAAGGCGCCCTTGGCGTTACTCCCCCCGGAGAAGAGGAGACGGAAGAGAGCATGGACTCACTATTAGCACGCGGCATACCAGCTGCCAGTCTAACGGGTGGGTCATTGGTTAGCGCCTGTCGTGCGCGGTATCGTGTAGCGTATTGAGTAGTTGACATAATGTTAATTAATTGTTGCCTAGATTCAAAACGACAGGTTGGCCAAACCAGAGTTCCCGAATCGTAGGCGTGAATAGGGGTAAGCTTGTTGAAGGTTAAAAAATATGTGATGACTGTGAGAAGCTTTGGCTTTCAGAGGCGGCACAGTGGGAATTCAGACGATCAAGTAACCAGATACAAGATAGAATTCAAGATCGCCAAAACTATACTAGACAACGTAGGTAGGACTTTATAGTGTGTAGTAGAGTAAGGCGCGTGATAAAGAAATCAACTGTTAAGATACTTTGTTTCATACGTGTCAGGGGGGGATCGATCTAAGACTTTCGACAACGTGCGTGATCGGCCTAGGCTCGGCCTATCCGTCACAGACGCCGTAACGCTTGAGATTACATAATGTTGTTTGGTTGTTCTTCACCGGAGTCGAATCATCATGGACATTGGGTCTCAGGTTTATTTATCACTAGGTGGGATGCCACATCTTTGGGTGAGCAGCGCATGTTCAATATTTTAGAAAGTTCCAGTAACACATAGGCCGCCTCTAAGCTCGGATCCTTCACTGGCGTCGATAAGCAAGGCGCCTATGATATTTTTAATCCTGTGCCTCATCTTAGGCGTTTGACGCTCTGAAGCAGCATATAAACGCAATGAAGACATCCACAATCCCCCCACAAAGTCCACTCCGACCGCGCTCAATATCACCAACCTCCAGAAATGGCGCAGCTCATTCCAAAACCCGTTGCACCCGTTCGACTGTTCGAAGATCGTAGATCTTGCCCATATTCAGTGGCAGTTTTCCCCGACGGACAACGCATGGTCACGGGCTCGGACGACAACATCGTTCGTTTGTGGGACATGAGCGCAGGAGTTGTATTGAAAAGAATGGAAGGGCATTCCGACTCCGTGATGGCATTAACAGTATCCCGAGATGGGCAATTGATAGCAAGCGGTGATAGCACAGGGGAGCTCATCGCCTGGGATGCAAACATTGGGGAATCTCTAACCCAAGCCATCAAAGCCCACTCCGAGGGGGTCGACTCCCTGGATTTTTCTCCAGACGGCTCGATGCTGGCAAGCTGCTCATTCGACACTACGACGAAGTTGTGGTGTACCACACGCTGGGAGCTGCTAGGACATCCAATCACTTGTAGTGCACGTGCCCTCTGCGTTCGTTTTTCGCCATCTGGCGAACGCCTTGCGATTGCAACAGCAAGCAACATCCAAATCTATAATTCAGGCACGCAGCAATGCGTAGTAAACCTCAAGGCACACGCATCATGTAACTCCTCGCTCGCCTGGACACCTGATGGCACACGGCTTTTCTCAGCGGGCTTCAGGGATGATCCTACCATACGAGAGTGGGATACATCGACCTGGAAGCAGGTCGGTGATTCCTGGAAGGGCCATTTCGACAATATCAACGGCATTTCGCTGAACTCTAGCGGCACCCTCCTTGCCTCCGCATCTGCTGACCACCGTGTCCGCCTCTGGAAGATCTCAGATCGACGAACCATCGTCGTATTCAACCACTCTGCCCTTGTGCACTGCGTCACCTTCTCTGCAGATGACAGTCACATCCTCAGTGGAGGTTCCGATGATGAGATCTCAGAGTGGCCAGTATCCGATAAACCTTTGCTAAAGGATGGTAAAGATGGTCTCAAGGACAAGGACAAGGACGGTCTCAAGGTTAAGGAGCAGGTGACACACCAGGTACATTTGTTTTGGTTTCCCGCCCATTCGTCACATCATCTAAATCTTTTTTTATGCAAAGGCTCAAATCTACTCTGATTTCAAGGCATGTTTCCACCTTTGACTCTTATAATGCAACGCGAACATACTTCACGCAGGTCCTCTCTATAAACTCGGAAGTACGCGATGCATGCATGGCTGGGGAGTTGCGTACCGCCGAAAAGGTGCTGACACAAGAGATTGACGCTGATGCCAATAATTACATATCCTATGCTAATCGCGCATTTGTCATGGCACGAAGGGGCTACTGGGACCGCGCGCTTCTTGATTCAATTCAGGTGATATAGACTGACCCATCTTGGTCCCCCTATGAAAGCTAACTTTGATGAATAGTCCGTCACCATTCAGCCCTCGTTTGCAGGTCACGTCTCCAAGGGCATTGCTCTCTGTGGAAAGGGGCAGTTTCGAGCCGCGAATACAGCATTTGACCTCGCGTCCGTGTTCACGAACGGAGATTTAAAGACCAGTCATTTCCTTTTCTTGATCAAGGCAAACAATTTCTTCTTCTTACATACCACTTGCTTCATTGCGATTTCAGACTATTGCACTGTTCAACGCAAATGAACACGAGGAGGCAATGCTGCGCGTCGGGGAGCTGGCTGTGTCTCCCAATGTCGACCCTGTTGCGTGTCGCATCGTGGAAGTGAGTATCATGCACTTGATGAAGCGCAGGTTCATGAGCTGGTGCTGATTTTTCAATTTCTCGCACATAAGGCACAGCTACGCATCGAACTGGGAGTAATTGCCTCGAGTAATCACCGTGAAGCTGTGGACCACTTCACTGCCGCAGTCAACGCGAGCGCTTCCTTTCATACATCAGAAATTCATTCTACATATGAGGAATTTACCGTGGTACGTCGATGTGATGTAACCGAATACCCCTTTGACGCTCATCTACGTGTTTTTGCAGCTCTTCGGCTGGGACCTCAAGTCTTTGTGGCAAACCGCGAACCAGCAACAGTGCTGTGCGCTCATTCGGGCAGGTAGAATTGGATCAGCCGTTGAATTGTATCAATCCATGATAAAAAAGAGTGATGAAACTACAAGGGACAGCTTACGTGCTTGGTTCAGTGGCAAGTCTTCAGTAATGTCATACCATTTATCATCCTTAACCATGGCACCTTGTTCAGAACTCAACTGGGAGTAAGAACGAATTGCGCTCTATGCTTCTCATGACGATGCTGTGCTCGCAGCGTGGGGTTACTTTGAGACACGGAGCCTCGGAGATCCGTAGTCTAAAACGCGTCGTTCTTGATCTTTGTCCGATCAAACGCGATGGTCAAAAGTCCGATGTGAACCTGATGTGCCATGTTTATGAATTCAGCTTCGGACGAAGCTACGGGTTGTGCAAACGTGTGCGGTGACCTAATGAGGGCCTTGCCCGAGTGCTATTATTATGTAATCCATTGAAGTTTGCAAACGTCTCACTTCCGAGTCCCTGGCACTTCACTTGAGCTTGAACACCTGCAACAACTCCCGGGCCCCTACCATCCAGATTCTCGCTCTCCCTCTTAACGATCTATTCAGTCAGTCGACGGAGCTAAGTGCTTTATCAGGATGATAATATACAAATTCAGTGTTTCAAGCGTGTTATAAGCGAAAATCAACGTCCAACGGTCTTCTTCAAGAGGGTCAAAGCCTTGCTTCCTGCACTATTACTCTGCTCGTCCCTCAACTTGGTCCTAAGCCTCACCAACGCCTTACCCAACTGGTTTTGGCCTTTCCGGTCTGCTCCGATACCCCAAAATGAGTCCTTATCAGAATCCTGCGGTGTATAAGTAAACTTCGTCGTGGTCCTCACGTTCTACTGACCTCGACAAGTTCTGCATCTCCAGTGGAGAGTAGTTCTTCCTTCAGATGTCTGTTCTGCGCGAATTTATGCCCAAGAACAAGGTCCATCTGATTGTTTTAGTCATCGGCTGAAATGGATTGCAGACGATACTGGTTCTCACCATCTCAATCCTTACTTGCAGCCAATCAGATCGCACTTCAGGACTGAATCTGTGGGCTTCGTCAAAAACCACACGTGGGCGCGTGGAGCACGTCCTGATGTGTTCTGCGAGCTCGGGGCGACGTTCTATGAACTATTACAGTAGTGAGTAACATATGAGATGACAACACTGGTCGTAAAGTTTCTCACCTTCAGCGACTGGAAGAGGTGCTCGCTCGTGGGGTATTTCTTTCCATTGTACTCAATGGGGTCGGACGAGAAATTAGTGAATCCATAGTACGGGTCGTGGGCATGATAGAAAAGGATTTTCTTCGGCTTCCCATCTGGGAGGGTTGTACTGGATGGCGGGGTTGGGCGGGTGGTAAGTGGAGATGACTGAGGAGATGTCGATGGACGCTGCGCCGACGATGGACGAGGGGAATGCGACCCACGTGGTGTTCGCGGCGGTAGTGCAGGGCTTGCATCTGTGCCGAAGAGCTGCAAGGTTTTATGGGCAATGCTGACTTTGCCACCATCTGACAGGTATCCACGATCCTCTTCGAGTCCCTTCTTAATCCGGTCAAGTTTGCGGGGACTCTGTGGTTCGGTTGAGCTGACTCGGAATGATTGGGCAAGGTCCATGTGGTGTGTCAGGAGTGTTTGACTACTCTGATCCTTGCTGGCAACCGGTGTCTTCTTGGACTTTCGAGGTGATTGCAGTGTTGCCACTTGGTTCGCTTGGTTTGTGGTGGGCTTCATACTCGTCGCTATGATGCATCTCGGTCTCTGTACGAAGAAGCTTATGTATGGGGCGCGATGCTCTTATTCCCATGCGCCATGTGCCGCCGACACGTTGCTGCTTCGAGGAAAGCTGGATCCGTGCTGGAAGCAGCGCAACTATGGCGCTGCTTCACGCGCACGTAGGGTGTGCAATACACGTGGGTCACATGCGCAGTCAGTTATCTTGCTTGGTGAGTGATCCCGAGGTCGTCATATTTCCTACGATGACTACGACTCTGCGACGAGATGCTAATATGTGCGAGGTGTGTCTGGCTTTCCTTCCTATTGAAAAATGTTGAGCTTTGTTGGCGATAGGCATGTGGCAACAAGCCGAAATATGTTGATCCAAGTGGAATGCAACACTCTTATTGTGGTCGCTCGTGTGCTCGGACCATGGTAGGAAAGGCAGCGTCTGAATGTTCACTCAAAGGCTGTAGCAACCCAGGGAACGCTTTCAATGGGTTTTGTTCTGTTGATCACGCCAAGTAAGTCGCATTGAGGGAACGCTTCTTAAGATGGAGATTGAGCGTCAACAGGCAAGGGAGTGCGGTTTCTCCCCCGTCAGCTTCTCCAGGCCCCAAAACGCAACCACAAACTCACAACCACAACGGTACTGGGCGTACGAAGCCTAAACCTCCCTTGGATATCGTTCACTTGTCTGAGATTCCCAGTTCTACGACGGTCTGGCGAGAATGTACGTGGTACTGCCATCACGCTTATGCTATTGATGGACGTCTTTCCAAGTTGTGAGGGAATGGAACAGCAAATGGTTGTCCCAGGAAGGCTCGGCATTGGTGGAAAAGCTATATGAAATATCTTATCCAACTAGTATATCCGATGCACAGGATAAATATCTGTAAGTGGCTCATCTTTTACCGAGCTGAGTGCTAGACTTATTGATCAATAGACAGGGCACACAAGCTACTGGGCAAGCCCGGATCTTACGCACATTCCACGCATCTCAGTGCATCTGCGACATGGGAACCAAAGGTCCCATGCTCTGCAAATGGAATTCATGCGGCATCTGCAATGTTGTAGGCTCGGCTTTTAAAGGTGTCGCCTTTGGTGTTCAATACAATACAGGGAGGTGAGCAGCCATTTTCATTTCGTATTTGACGCATTTTTTTTGTTTATCACTATTCATTGTCAAGGCAAGGCAAGGGGCTATACTCTTCTAGAAACCCAGCTTCCGCCGATCGACTTGCCACCTCATGCTTGTCTTCACCTTACCGCGTCGTCATCGCCTGCGATGTTGTTTTACCGCAGAACCTTGACAAGAGCACTTCGGTAAATGATTTAAACTTGAAATTAGAGCTCTCATTGACGTTGTACACATGCAGGTTGTCGCTGGCGACAGGGTAGTCGTTCGAGTGTCAGAGGCGATTATCCCCAGATTCGTCGTGATGTACACGAAGCAGACTTGAACCTTGCCCTCGTTAGCTTGAACGGTCATCATCATTTATTTATGTAATTCATTTTCTGGATCTCTTGAGTGGCCGCAAATCGAGTTTCGCCGGAATGTTCAGATCTCCTTGTGGTCAGGATGATCTAACCGCATGTGGTACCTCCCCTTGATCGAAGGAGCACGAAGGAGCGCGGCAGGCAAACAGATGGCCTAAGAATCACTGATGGGCGCACCGTTTTTTGCTCTGTTTGGGGTAGAAGCACTGCTCCATTCCACACCAGATAGCCTCGTGCACTGACATGCGGACAACACGTTTTAGTGTGATAACATCCACCCCAACACCTGGGCTGTCTCCGCAGCCTCATGCCAATGGCCACCACCTCTATAAACCAAGACGCAATTTTGAGCTGGGCAGCAGCTCAGATAACTTCAATGGCTACCGGACTTTGCGAGGTCAGCGATGGCTTATCCCGTCTCTACTAGTTCACCCTTTAATTTTCCCGTGTAGAACTGTCATAAGACGCCGAAATTCGGTACTCATAAGTACTGTGGCAAAACCTGCGCCGCCCAGGCGGCCACTGCGCAACAACCTGCGCGTCGCACGAAACCAGGACCACTTCCCAAGGCCAAAGTTCCTCTACCAGCCCAAAAACAAGTACGGCTCTGCGATGTAAGTTGAGGATCGTGATGATCTGGCGGTCACGATCCTTACTTTGTTCCAGTATTGTGGGCAAAAGCCGAAGTTCAGTAACTTTGATTATTGCGGTAAATCGTGCGCGTCGAAAGCCGCTACTCCTCCTCCTGCGCAATCTGCTGTTCAAGGACGACCTGCTCCGAAGCAAGGCGTCCGCCTTCCTGCTACTGCTCAGCCTGTACTGTTTCCTGCTCAGATCCAGCCTATCAAACCCTCTAAACCGGCAACGCGCCACGCAGCTTTGACTGTGACCAAAGGTTGCCCATTATCACTCATCTGAAATCCACTGGGATACTTACTCATTATTGCAGATGAGTCCAGCGACGATGACGATGACGACTACCCTGATGCAGATGAGGAAGACGAGGATGATACGGGCGCAGGCACAGACCTGGACGCGTATCCGTCAGATGATGACGAAGAACCTGCTCCAGCTCCTCCGACTCGACCAGCCAAGGCTGCACACACTTCGCTGAAACAAAACCCAGCACGCCGTGCGGCTGGTACCTGTCTTGTCCCCAACTGTGGAAAACCGTCTTTCGTCGATAGAGGTGGGGTGAAGACAGATTACTGTTCCTCACGGCACCGAGAGTAAGTAGTCACAAAGGTCGATTGCCACGAGATACTAAATGTCCTTCAGAGAAGCAGTGTCCCTGGGACTAGTTCCTGGATGCATTATGTGCCAACGCTACCCACAGAGCGGAACAGATTACTTCTGCTCCGCCGCTTGCAGAAACCAGTCTATGACGAAAGTCTAGAGGGCTGTTTCGTATATATTCTGACAGTTCTGTACATTACGCTACTAGGTGTGATATTATGTTAGGTTCGCGATGGAGCTATTTCTCAGCGGTAATGAGGAATTTCTGTAACCGAATACAAGTGTGGATCTCTCTGAAGAACGGCCACCAGTGATCAGCCCGCTGAAACTGGAAGGAAAGTCCTCGATATCACTTGGAAGCAAATGATTATGGATATCAACATCTGTCCACGCTTTTCCCTGGAGGATTCTCGAAATCAATATAAATGGCGCAATGATCTGCATTGCTTGAAATAAAACTGAGATGCACGATATAATGTCATTATCTCACCTGCATTTGGCTCTGGATAACCATGAATGGATACTGAACAAAGTTATCCATCGTGTAGAGGACGAGATAGACGATCGAGCTGATCGCGGAAATCATGCAAGATTCAGTGGTCATTGTGATGATACTAGTGTACTCCCTCCCATGGCGACGACTTCCTGAGCGAAAGGTTTGTATCAGAATGAAGAGACAGCATATCTTGCTCACCTGTCGATTTCTCGAGCTTCGCACGATGTATCATGATGCAAGCGGCTATCAATAACGTTGTGATGATATTAAAGGAGAGATCGACCACCACAAAAATGCAGTAGGCTTTGGACATTGCTTCTATTGAATTGGACACTTCTGCTGTATTCACAAGCAGATTGATAGAAGTCGCTGCCAGGATATTGTCAGCAACTCTGAATTCAACGTTTCATATCGTATTAGATACCAATAACGGCAAGGAACATGCTGCATGGAACAGGGATCAGCCATCTTGTGTTTTTCATGTTTCGGAACAGGATTATACAGCGCCAAAGCTAAGGGGAGGCGTGAGTCAAGGATCCGCTTGGGCATGGGTAACGCTGATGGTCTTACCATGAGCGCATCAGCCAACCAATTGGAGACGATATAGCACGCCATTGCTGCTATACTGGCCCAGTCACGCCATAAACTAATCTCGTAACCCGTTGGACTAGTGGTGGAGTCCCAATTGATAACGAACGATATCCAAACTCTTCGAGAATTTTCAGCGGCGTATAATGTTTCAAGAATAAACATGGCGGTTGTGTAGCCGAAGAAAAAGAGTCGTGGAGCCCGCCGCATCGGACTGTGGACCAATAAGAAGAGGCACTGGACGTAGATGGTCAGTACAGCCCCATAGCCAACGCCCATGAACAATGTTAAGCTCAGGAGGGATATGCCATTGTGCTGGCGTTCTGACGGTGATTGGGTAGACATTGTCAACCCTTGATCGAAAGACTTGGGGAAGATTTTAAAGCGCATTCCAGCGCCCTGCCATCAATCATCGCATGGGACCATGTGGAGCCATTAGTACACTGACATGCCAAGCTTTACAAAAGGAACGGGGACGGACAGCTGCGGAATCTCGAACGAATACTTAGATCAGATTGAGCGGGTATGAGTGTTCCGGAATTCCCTGGGCACTGATCAGTAAATTGAACAGCTCATCACCGCCTTGATGAAGAAGGAATCGCTGTCTTCCTTCTACATGATATCAAGGTTTCTGACTACGGGAGCATCACTGTGTCTGTTCGAAAAATCAATATCAAGCTCAGGACTGTGCGAACGTTATTTCTGCCACCCACATTTGACCAACACAGCATTACATAATTAAAGAAGACTAAGTTATATATGTAATTAAGTAAGTCCGTAAGATCTACCAAGTACGTGTTGACTAGTGCGATCCAAGCCGTAACGCCCGCCGCCGTCACGACTGTGGTGGGACAGCTTGTTGGGTTCTCGGGATCATCAATATGGAATGGTGTAACCATTCTTCACCGGAGCTTCTGGTATCGGGTTTGTTCAGACGTACGGAACGCCACCACTCACAGTGCATCTGAATGCTGTGCGCGTGATACACTCTATAGGTTCTAGTTTTGTCTCCCCTTGCTAGCCGCACTCCCGATCCACACTGCCCACGCGTTCCCTTTATCGCTGGTTACATTCCACCGATCATCCTACGACCTGGCTCGGTTCCAAGAGCAAGTCCACGCCGGTGGAGACATCCAAGGTGTCATGGAAGCATCTTGTAGGGACGGCTCAGCGACAGGACGATTCTCTGGAGGGCACGAAAGCAACCTGCGGGCGTGCCGGGAAGTAATTTTTTCAACATCGTGAGCGGAGGTTGTGGCGAAGAAGTGCCGCAAGCGGCAAGACTCAAGAGGTGGCTGCGCTTTATCAGTCTTTGGTCCGATACTTAACGAGGTCCGTTCCGCGATGAGCGCTTGTTGATCATGTGGTGAAGCGCCGTGGAGCAGCTTGATGTTATCTTGTACTTGTTGGGATGCAATCTCCATTTTCTGACGCAAGCACAAACAGGCGTGTATCTTCCGCTTCAGAATCGCTTGTGCGAATATTGTTCCCCAGGTTTGGCTGAATTTGACCGTAGCGTGTTGCTCCTTGAAATCGCTAAATATCGAGGGTTTCAATCAAATTGGCCTGCTCCTCATTCTCCCTAAAGAGCATGAGCATCTCGTCCAGATGATCTCCGTGGTTTTGGACCAACCGTATGCGTTCAAGCTTGAGCTACATTCGACCTCTAAAAGTTATTCGCGTTCCGCCTCGCAACCGTTGCGAGGCGGAACGCGAACAAATCGTCTAGTCTGTTACTGTCTATTATCTATCCTGTTTCTGTCTGCTAAGTTTACACTTGGTAGTTTCTCTCTGAATTCTCCTGCTTTAAATTTGGTCGAGTCTACAGGATCCGGCTTTAAAGTGCGCTAGTGCGCCCTCCAGACCACCCGTATCTATTGCGCCCATTGTGTTCCGCCGGTACAACTCTACAGTATCGCGACAATTAGACACTGCGAGTGTTCGTTTCAGGTTAGGTGCTTGGGATATTTTCACCGTCTGTTCGCAGTGTCGCCGTTTTGCGGAAACGCCTAGTAGGTCGTCCCAGGCAGTGTACGATGCAACATCCGTGCTTCTTTGCGAAGCGAAAAAAACCTCAGATTTACGCGCAGTGCCAAACGGATGCCACACTGTGTGTGATTTTGGTTGCAAATACCGCTGGAATTTGCAATGGTGGTTTGACTGCTGTTCCAAGGTAAGACTGCGGCGTGCGTGGGCCAAGCTGTTGGAGTCAGAGACAGTGACGAACGAGACTAACGTCGAACCCTTGAGCTTATGGAACTGGTGACATTGCGAACAGGTGCACACCGAAGTAACTTCAGATCACTAGATTTCCAAATCCTCTCACAAGCTGTTGTGAATGAACGGGGGTCTGTGGATCAGCCCGTGCTATTGGTCGATGATATCCAAATGCTATTCCGAAGATATCAACATGGCAGAGTAAATCAGATCATTGGACTAGTCTTTAACAGCAACTTAGATCTGAGATGACCACGAACAACCAGAAGATCCGGACATGGTTGTGTGAAATCGGAATAAGCAGTAAAAGATCCAGGCAGACCTTCACCATTATTCAACGTTCAGGCAGAATTATTTGATGTTGCTAAATCATCAATACGTAGCATCGAGTCGCATGTCAATATACACCCCTGCTGTCACAGGCTCGTACTTCTTCGGGTTTTCTTCATCCCAACAGCCAGGAAGGCAGTCAATCAAAATATCTCTGTCAGCAGACATGAACTAATCCAGCATCAATATCAAACGCATATCAATTGTCTGCAGGAAGCTTACATATGGGATTGAGAAGCGCTCCTTGATCATTCCTGACTTCCCATCGTTCGGGGGCGCACGGACGCGGTGCATTGTTGATTTAAGCGTGTCTGATTCAAAATGAGGTATATAACTTGTGACAAAGAACAACAAAAGAAGAAAGATCGCACCGTTTGACCACCGCATCAAGAAATCTCCAATATTGAAGACGATCGTTCCCGGAATGGGTGGAGCAGCAACGAAATTTCCTGAGCCACGAGGGCTCTCAACCTCGAGACCCCCAACATCATCTTGGAACAGAATGGTGCCCGTTGCATAATCCTACAATTCATTATTAAAGTCAGCTAATAGCTGCTGCTCAAACAATCACATACCGTGTGCGCACCGATTCTCCCTTTCTCGCCGCTCGCGAATACCTCTGCAGGCGCAGCTGGATAGTGCAGCAATCGCAGTTGATTATCTGCCTCTTGGTGATATTTCCCCAGGAATTCGGCTCCGCCAGGGAGCTCAAGCCCTAAAGATAATGCAGGTAACAACTTCTCCATCTCAAAGCGACGGCATGTATCAAAGAACGTAGACGCTGCGTCTCTGAAGCCCGGAAGGACTTGTTCTGGAAGCCACACATTGGAGATGCGCGGGGAATCATCGCGCCCGATGTCAAAGGATTCTTTGAAATCGGGAGTTTGTTTGCGTATCCCGGCGAGCTGCGCTGGGTCGAATACCTACGCGAGTTAGTATATTGGTAGCTTGAATGAATCAGAATGATACTGAGACGCACCATTTGTGAAACTTGCTCCCTGCCAACCTAAACGAGAGATACGTTAAGACATGTTGTCATGTCGTCTTCGCAACTCAAAACAACATACCCCGCTATATCCCCGATGTTTCCATCCCTCCTTAGGGTGTGGAGCCAATAGCTTCGTTTCAACTGGAAGCGAGAATAGCCTGCTGCTCTTGAAGCGCATTCATTCGTTGGAATGGATTTCGTACATGGAATGATATGCACACACCATTTCAAACATGCTATCCACCTCTGCCTGAGGGATACCAGTGTTGCGAAAGTATGCAAATCCAACTTCTTGACATGCTTTCACCAACTGCTTTCCTATCTCTATGGCTTCCTGGACATCAAAAAGAGTTTCGATATCGAGAAAGATTATCGTCACATATGAGCATCATACGTACTGGGGAAGCTCCTTCTCCGAAGCCTGCAAAATCGACGATTGGGATTGCAGTGGGTTCGAGAAAGATCGTACCTGGCATGATTCAGTGTGGCATGCCTGAGTGAGTAAACCCGCCTTATATTCTAAATTATTGTCCCGCTGACTCTATTACGTAGTGGGGCACAAGTGTTTATTCACCTTTCGAACATGCGGCAGAAGCGGCATGAACCTCTTCTCCGCCTTTCCCACCCCGCCGCTCCCTTCAAGATTGATGAGTCACACACCAGGAGACGATCCAGGCCAGCGATATTACCCCTCGCATTATTAATATTTTTCCATGTCCTGTCAGATACCTGCGAGGGTTTGCCCTCAACTTGTCTCTAAGATGCACGCAGATTGGAACAGGAAAGCCTATCGTTTCCAACTTAGCGCTTTCACCCAACTAGTTTACTCCTGAGTCCTCACAGCATCAGTTCGTCATGATTAATACACGTGATAGTAACTCACTCATTATGGCACTACACATCTTCGCCAAGCTTCTAGAGCGGCCATGGAACGTTCGAGCCTCGAAGAGTGCAAGTAGGGGTTGTCGAAGACTCGAAGTGGGGGGCGTGATCTTCAGCTTATATCAGTGTCCTGTAAATAGATATTGGTCCACCTCCATAGCGCCATGTTATTACAATAGATAACAGGTTACTTTGTATAAGGGGAGAAATAGATGACAGTAAGATATCCGAAAGAATTAACACCAGCAATATAAGAAATGGCCAGCTCAGCTTTAGTAGGCTTCCCGTTCCTCACTCAACTATACCATCACTCTCATCTTCCACCGGACCCCCAGTATCATCTTCCTCGTTCTCTTCATCCGAATCTTCGTCCGCAGGAAGCGTCATCATATCATTCAAACTAGAGGAATTAATATCAGCACATGCACTCCAAAATATATACTCAAAATGAAGCACTCGGTGTGAGTGGCGCCTCTGGTTCAGAAACGGTCCGAGAAAACAAATAAAGCACCAGACTCACCAATGGACGAATGGCATCATCACATCAGCAACACCGCGTAGTGTATCCATAAACTCGGATCCAGGCGCAATGACTTGGTCATCCGTGAACCGGCAGGAAACAGCGAGGGAGCGGCATTTGAGGAGGGCGATATCTCTAGAAATGCATAGCACAGTGTATCGATTAGCCTCAATGACTCAAATGATACCCTACTACGTACTTGTGATTCTTATCCACGCCCTTTGGTGCGACCTTTAATTGATCTTCATGCCCAAAAACACTCTGACGTTCTCCGTGCGGGTGTGGATGGGGAGGGCCGAAATGGGTAGTGAATGTCTCAGAAGAAAGGATCGTGTGCAGGGTCTTAGCGACGGGTGTGGAGTGAAGTAGGTGATTTCTGTTAGGTGAGGGAAGGCATGAAAAGAACCATGTAAACAAAGCAGAGACGAGACACACCTAAGAGTCGCAAGTTCGTTCTTAGCAGGACACCATGCACCTGCAGCAATGACGCTCTCGTCACCCGGCTTGACTAATAGTCAAGCGTGTCAGTGTACGTCAGACCAGCATTTTCAGCTATGACTGACTCATTCTGTGTGAATTAACAACGCGCATTTACCCAGTCAGTTGATCTGGCTTTGGTGCTAAGAGGTGCGTACACGTGGTCTGCGAACAATTAGATAGCTGGAGCGAAAGCAAAACGCTACAAAGCTTACAAAAAGCAAAGATTCCCTTCCTGCCACTCCTCGAAAAGCTCGCAGACAATCCCTTCTTGTACGGTGTTTTATCGTTGCTGAAGCGGATCTACGCACACGACATCAGGCCTGTAGGTCCATGAAAGGAATAAACATGTGAGGGGACAAACATCTCTATATATACGGTGGATGACGTCTTTAGGGGGCAACGGGGGGATCTGGGTGTCGACTTCTGTGAGCATATTGGTGAACTCCTCGATGAAGCCCTTGAACTCTTTTTCTACGCGACGATACACAGGTTCTGTTGTTAAAATAAGCGCAAAGCTTCAGTCTGATACACAAGACCCACATACCGTGTAGCTTGAACCTACAAGCGCGCGATGATGTTCAGCCAATGACAAATGAATGAAGAAGTGCGAACCATTCGCGGTCATTACACGCAGGGTCCTTGAGTTGCAATAGAAAATCAAGCGTGTTCTGTGAAACCTGGCCAGGAGGGACTTTAACACCGGTAAGTTGATCATCCCTGAAGCAGGAAAAGACCAACTTACCCCAGCCTGTCTTTGGAGCTTGCACGACGCGACCCACGATTTGCTGCCCCTCCTTCAGGTCTAAATCACTCCCATCTACATCCTCTTCATCCTTGACGTCCTCCTCCTTTGCTTTGCGTTTCCTGGGCTTGGGCTTGGGCTTGGGCTTCGAAGGTGAGCTTGACTTGGAATTGGGATTGGAAGAACGCGTGCGTTTCTTGGGTGGCAGGTCGTCGAGCGCGTCGCTGTGAAGGGATTCGGGCTCTGAGTCTTCAGAGGATGACTGAGCGCGCTTGCGAGGGCCGACCTTGCGTGTAGCTGGCATTGTGGTTTGCTCAAGTAGGACGGAAGGTCTAGGTCGCGTGCAATTGCAAGAAACTCAAGACTGAGACAATCGCGGGCTTTGAACTTTGTCTTGCAATGTAACCACCACGGACTAAAACGCTATAGACAACCGTATGAAGGTGCTTGTACATCTACTTTATAGTAACTGTGACATTTCCTTGCAGAAAACCTAGAGCAGTAAAATGAACCCATGCAGGATCCATCAACCAGGTAGCATACAAGTTGACCACTCATTTGAAATCGTTATGGCACGCGTTTCATTTTGGTGACGCAAATAAGGTGAGATACACCGACCCACCATACTTAAAAACCTCGTTGACTTATCTGTAAGGCTGCGGCGACATGTGTTGACACATGCGCCAAGGGTCTTACGATAACAGCCTCATGTATAGGGCATCTATTTAATGCTACGAAGCACAGTAAAAACGTCAAGTACATGCACGTCTGCAGCTTAAAGGCGTGTTTCCAGCCTTAACGTGTATAACGCGAATCGAACATTCTTCATGCAGATCCTTGCCATTTCCACAACCGCCCGCCATGCATGCATTGCGGGGGACTTGTCTATGGCTGAAGAGCTACTCACCCAAAAAATTGACGCAGAGACGAACGATCACACTTCCTATGCCAATCGCTCATTTGTTATGACACGCACACTCGACTGGGACCGTGCGCTGGAAGATGCAATCAAGGTGGGATATACCGACTCATCGTCATTCTTCTCTAACTTTCATTGTGACATAGTCCATCAGCATCCAGCCCTCTATGATAGGTTATATTGCCAAGGGCCTCGCCCTCTGTGGGAAACAACAACTTCTGGACGCGATGAAAACATTTGACATCGCGTTCACATTCACGAACGCAGACCCAGAGACGACCCATTTCCTTTTCTTGATCAAGGCAGGTAAATTGTCAATTCATACACCATGTCTCATTACGTTGTTCAGGCAATTGCGTTGTTCAATGCAAATTACGATGAAGAGGCGGTGCTGCCCGTTCAAGAACTGGCCGCCCGTACCAATGCCGATCCTCTCGCTTGTAGTGTCGTAGAGGTAAGTATCATGCACTCGATCAAGTCCAGGTTCGTGTGTTCACTGATTTTTTTGCGCTTCCTGCGTCAGGCATATTTGCGAGTCCAGCTGGGAGAAATTGACATGGATTGCGGCCTTCACGAGGAAGCTGCTGGCCACTTCACCGCCGCTGTCAACGCTAGCGCTGTATTCTCTAAAACTGACATTCATTCTATGTATGAGGAATTTATCGTGGTACGTTGACATGTTGCGACAAAATCCTTTTCATACTCAGCTGTATACTTGTGCCAGCTCTTTGGCTGGGAACTCAAGTCATTGTGGCAGACGGCAAACCAGCAACGGTGCATTGCACTACTTCGGGCAGCTCAATTTGGAGCAGCCCTGGAATCCTATCGATACGCGATGGAGATGAGTGATGAACCCACGAAGGCCATCTTGCTTGCTTGGATCCCTGGTGAGTCTTCAGTAATGTTTCCCATGCTAAGATCCTCACTCGTATTTCCCTCAGCTCTTAATCAACCGTGAAGCGAACTCCGCACTGCCAACAGAGGTGCTGCCCTTCGGCTACTCATGCAATACTGTAACCCGAGGTCTTTGCGTCTGATTTGTTCATCCGCATTTCCTTCATATACATATCGCCCTTTGTACTCGTCTCATGCTAGCTCATAATTCGAAAGCAGACAGATAGAGCATCCAACAAGGGTCGCACACAGAGTCCCTCCCCACCGCTAGCTATGAATTTATTTGCGTGTTCGTTCAGTTCGTGTCCGTCACTGTCCAACGTCAGAACACTCAGACTCGGACTGTCAGGATTTCAGTATTGGTATTCGGACACCTATATGTATACAGCGCTGTCAACGGTTTGAAGTCGACTTGATGGCCGATGCAGATGGTTATTAACGACTTTCAACGATACTATGGACTGTCCATATATATTGCGCGATGGCAATGGATGTCTTTATACGTGGGACATTGTCTGAAGAGGTCTTCACGATCCTCATGATTGCAAATATGAATGGCGTGAAGAGAGAACTCGATATGGCTTTCGGTATCTGCTGTTTGCGAGATCAAGACGTGTCCATTTGGGGGCTCTGTCATGCCCGTTGTTTGTGACAGGTGTTTGTGTTTCGGGCTTCATCAACGATGGACTCGGGAGTCGCGGGCATCGGAGGGAGGTTAATGTTTTGGTCTTCACATCTGCTATGTTTACTCGTGGGGAAGCGGATCGCGAGGGGGGTAGGCAAAAACCAAGTGTGATCATAGCTACGGTAGTGTGCACCAGTGCAGCTAAGCCTATAATCATTCAGGAAATAACATGGACTCGGAGGGTTTGTCCACGGTCGAAGGATTGGCTTCATTTGATACTAGTACTTGTTGTTCTTCACCTGCAGTGATAGTTGATTACGACATCGGAAGAGAGCTCGCGACGATGCACGTGCCGAAGATTTATCTGGGGCGTCTAAGGGGAGACACGACTCGGAAGAAGGTCAATATTGTAATGAAATCGGCATTAGTAAAAATGCCCGGTCGACGCTTCTTGACGCACGCTGCCGCGTGCTGTCTACTACCGTTGCCCAGACGTATCAGGTTGATTTTGGAATTTTGAATTTTAGTCGTGAGATACTTATTCGCTCACGTCCAGAACCTTCCAGCTAGTCCACGCCGTGCTCAAGACCACCAACCTCCAGTAAAATGGCGGAACTCATCCCAAGTACCACACCCGTTCGAGAATTTGAAGGACATAATGAATCTGTATCCAGCGTGGCAGTTTTTCCCGATAGACGAAGGATGGTGACGGGATCGTACGACAAGACACTTTGCCTGTGGGACATGAAGGAAGGCGTTATGTTGAAGAAAATGGAGCGGCATAACGCCAGGGTATGGTCATTGGTAGTATCACGAGATGGGAAATTGATGGCAAGCGGTGGAGAGAACGGAGAACTGATCGCCTGGGATGGAGACACCGGCGAACCTCTCACTCAAGTCATCAAAGTCCACACCAGTTGGATCCTATCACTGGACTTTTCCCCAGATGGCACCCTGCTGGCCACCGGTTCGTTGGATCAAACGACAAGGCTGTGTAATACGAAAACGTGGCAGGAGCAAGGAAATTATATCCTTTGTGGTGCAGGGGTTCGCTGCGTTCGGTATTCGCCGTCTGGCGAACATCTTGCCATCGCGACAGACAGCGATATCCAAATATGGCAACCAGGCAGGAGGGAGTGTGTCGCAAAATTCCAGGCAGCAGTCAACGGAGCGAACTACTCACCCGTATGGACGCACGATGGCACACGTCTTTTTTCATTGGGCGAAGGGAACGATCCCACGATGCGAGAGTGGGATTCATCAACCTGGAAGTAAGTCGGTGATCGCTTGGAGGGCCATTCCCTCGGTATCACAGCCATTGCCATTGCCTTGAACTCCAATGGCACACTCATTGCCTCCGCATCCGAAGACAACCATGTTCGCCTCTGGCAGCTGTCTAATCGACAAACCATCGCCATATTCAAGCACTCTAATGAGTTGTACTGTGTCGCCTTCTCCGCAGATGGCAGGTATATTCTCAGTGGAAGTGGGGATGAGGAAGATCTTAGAGTGGCCGGTACCCGAGGATTTTTGGCCGCAGGATGGTCCCAAGGAACAAGCCGCACACCAAGTAAGCCCGGTTAATCTTTCTGCCACTTCGTTAACTAACTCCTCATCTTTTATGTCAAGGCTCAAGATTCTGATTTCAAGGTATATTCACCCAGATACAGCTCTCTTATAGTACCGCAACACCAACATGTTTCATGCAGATTCTCGATATAAATGCGACAGCCCGCGACGCATGCATAATTGGAGACCTGCCTACTGCTGAAGAGCTGCTGACCGCAGAAATTGATGCTGATCCCGATAACTACAACTCATATGCCAATCGCTCAATCATCATGGCGCGACAACTCAACTGGGATCATGCGCTCAATGATGCAGTCAAGGTAAGAAACGGTGACCCATTGTGCTTCTTGATGCAGGCTAACTTGAATCATGACATAGTCCGTTAGCATTGAGCCCTCCTTCATGGGCTATATCTCCAAGGGCATTGCCCTATGCGGAAAACAACAAGTCTGGGACGCGACGAAAGCGTTTGACCTCGCATTCACGTTCACGAACACAAATTTGAAGACGATTCATTTCCTTTTCTTGATCAAGGCATGTAGCACCTTTTGATTCGCATTCTCTGCTTCATTATTGGTTTTAGGCTACCGCGTTGTTCAATGCCAGTAAAGAAGAAGAGGCGGTGCTTCCTGTCCAAGAGCTAGCTGCCCGTCCCAATGCTGATCCTCTGGCTTGTCGTGTTGTAGAAGTGAGTATCATGAATTCAATCAAGCACAGATTCGTGTGCTCAATGCATTATCTGTGCTCTCCACATTAGGCGTATTTGCGGGTCCAGCTAGGAACCATTGCCATAGATGGCGGCCTCCACAAAGAAGCCGCTGACCACTTCACTGCCGCCGTCGATGCTAGCGCTTTCTTTTCCAAATTGGACATTCATTCTATGTACGAGGACTTTGTCGTGGTACGTTGATATGACGCGACCAAACATCCTTTTTATTCTCAACTGCGTGCTTGTGTAGCTTTTCGGCTGGGACCTCAAATCCTTGTGGCAAACTGCAAACCAGCAACGCTGCCATACACTTCTCCGGGCTGATAAGGCTGGAACAGCGCTCGAAGCGTACCGATACATGATGGACATGAGTGATGAACCCACGAAGGCCATCTTCCTTGCTTGGATACCTAGCAAGTCTTCAGTAGTAATACTACCCGTGCTACGATGCTCACTTGTGTTTCCCTCAGGTCTTAATGGGAGTTGAAGCGCACTCCACGCCGTCAACGAAGATGCTGCCCTTGCAGCGAGCGGCTACTCGTGTGTTTTGGAGTGCGGGTGAGCTTGAGCATTCTTCATCCACACCTTCATATCACCTACTTGCATATGCAAAAAATCGCCCTTTGTACTTGTATCGCATGCTGGTTCACATAAGGTTTCAGGAAATATAATGTACTACAATGCTTGCATATCCGCGGCGCGTGCCCTTTGCTTGAAACCCGACGTGTCAGTTCTCAACACCATCGATCATCGAGAGCCGCTGCATTTCCCGCTTCACACGTTCCCTCCACTGATCTATCCCCATATTTGCCTATGTCATTACTTTGGTGAATGGTTCCCCTGTGCTTCTCGTCCTCTATCCAATTTTCTCACACGGGCAACCATACATGGCGCTGTCAACAGTACGAAGTCAGCACGATACGCTATGGTCCAAGTTATTAATCTGAAGACTTCAGACAAGGCTAGGCGATTCATCAGGCTCCATCGAATCATGATTCCGCTGGTTAATCCCTTTAAGAGTACCGCACCAGATGCAGACCTATGAGATAGAAATTGAAACCCACTTGATGGTCCATGACTTGAAGTATGTAACCTGATCGCCACAAGCGTACTGCTATTGCACCTGTTGTAGGCTCCGACTGTATGTCACTGCTTGTCAGCTGCAAAAACAACTAACGAACCGGTAAGGAACGACATTTCTTTGATATTCATCTTGCAGTGAATAAAATACTGAAGAAGACAACAAGTACAAGTTAAAGATACGCTAGAATTGTATTCTGTCGCATCGCAACCCCTCAGTACTGAATTGACATGAACAAAAAAACAGGTCACTCAGTGTTGTTCAACTGAACGCGATCCCCCGTGGCTCCGTTCAGCAAGGCACCTCATACTTGGCATGATTGTAATCAGAATGTAATGCACCCTAGGCTTCAGCAACAAATAGGAATCTGAACGCACAGTGAACACCGTACACACATCTCAAAATTAATAGAAAAATTTGCCCAGGATGGTGGAGCCAACCGTCAGGGGTTGGAGTTTTGACCGACGAAGCGCTCATGAAGTGTCAATTTAAGGTCGAAAACATACCATCACACCTGGATCTGCCGCCGCGGTGCTATTGTGCCACAGACCTGGATTCACATAATTAGAGCCTGTAACAAGCATAGCATCAGTGGTAATACATGCGCATCGGCTTGGGCGTCAAAAGGCGAAACAAATATAAAAGATGTTACAACTTCGTTGAAACTATCGGACGACAGACGACTGAGGGCCCAGGAAAAAATACTTGGAAACAAGCAGGAGTTGCATCTCCAGTCGACAGAAGAGACTTCTGATGTGAATATGGCATACACAAAGGTATGTGCTAAGTTGACATCTCGCCCATTGAATAGTGATGCACACCTTACTTTCTCAGCATCCTCACGCTTCTGGGCTAGAAGACCTCAAATAATCAGGCCTAGTGCATGAGGACCCTGCCGCTGAAATTGAGAACACTGGAGTAACGACGCATACGAGTCAATGATTCTCGTTACTCGATTCCAATGGACCACCTACCTGATGCTTTCTTCTCAGATATGAGTTTGTCTTTACTATTGACACTTGAGTGGAGGCACATATATTCACCGTGATGCGGAGAACAAATGAGTAACCTTATTCTCGGTCTACAGCACTAATCCTCGGGAGGGTTGCACGTCGGTTGTACGACTACGCAAATGTGAATGATGTATAGCATGCGGGCTGAAGAATAACAAAGGATATTCAACTCTATAATGGCAAATGGGAATGAAAGGTGACACGTACACTCCTCAGCCATTCGTATTAATATTAATATTGTCCGGTGCACCACGCAGTGGACACTGGAGTGACGAGTCAACGTTTCGAGTCAAAAGAGTTGAATCTAGTCAACGTAAGAATGATCACGTCAGCAGGATTTGTCATGCGGCAAATTTTGCTCTCTTCGCTGGCCGCAGACCCGTTCTTTATCTTTTCCGAAATACGCAAAGCCTTCTCAATGTCATTCCGGATCCAACACCCCTGTCCACACATAGGGATTGTGACTGGACGACAACTCAGGCCCAAGTCATCCTGCGGAAGATCTATCCTTTCTCGGGCTACCGAGCGGCTTTCATCTATCGTCGACGGAGCCATCTGCAGTACTGGCTCTCCGAGGTTTTCCTACACGCTGAAATTGGTGCGTGCTATGCTATGAGATGATGGATTACGGATAGTGTCCATTATGCGGGTTATGAGGTGAGCTGCAAACGACGTGGACAATTTTTATATTTATTGCTCTCTATTCCGGATACTACCTACCACTTACTCTGCCCACAATGTATTCATTAGACTTCACAAGCACCTGTTCCTTCATCAGCAGTGGAGATGCCATCTAGATGCACTGTAGCGCGTGGCTAGCTGGTCAATTTCTCGCTTCATTGAGACGGTGTGAGATTGTTGATAAACTCAATGTCGTGATTGATGAGACCACGAACTTTTCAAAGGTACCAAGTGTGTCCCGGTGTCAAACGCAACAACACTGGCACGGGGGGAAACCTGAAAGTCCTGGATGGATCCGTGGAATTGCAGTTCACTAATATTCGGATGAGCGGCCATCGGAAGTCTATGAAAGACTGTTGTCCTAAACAGCCATGAAATATTGTGCCTATATTGGATTATCAACGGTTGAAGGATTGGGGTCCTTCCGAAAGTGTTGCTCAGCACCTGGCATTAGGAAAACATGTTGTCTTATCTGGAAAGCTGTGGCGAAGCAAGTCGGACGCATGCCCAGGCGCTTATGATAACAGCCTCGTGTATTGGGCGTCTGACAAGAGGTTAATAACGCTGCGAAGACGCCCAATGACCGAGTGCAATTCACCTTCGCAACTTAGAGTAATCTCTCAGCCGCAAGGTGACCATCATTCCTCCGACGAGTCCACCTCGGTCGTGCTCAACACCACCAACCTGCAGCAACATGCCACAGCTCATCACCACCCTTCGAAAATTTGGAGCTCATAACGAACGAGTAAATGCACTCGTAGTTTTGCCTGATGGACGGCGTATGGTCTCCTGCTCGAATGACAGGACGCTTCGTCTGTGGGACTTGAAGACAGGTGATGTGATGAAGAAGATGGAGGGACACTACGATAAAGTACTGGCCTTGGCGGTATCACTAGATGGGAAATTGATAGCAAGCGGTGATGAGAGCGGAGAGTTCATTGCCTGGGAGGGAGAAAGTGGCGAATCTCTCACGGAAGCCATCAAAGCCCACTCCTATGCGATCAAATCGCTTGACTTTTCTCCCAATGGCGCGGTACTTGCCACTGCCAGTATATTTTCGGGTGAGGTGAATCTATGGAGTACAGAAACATGGCAAATCCATGGAGATCCAATCGTGTGCAACAACCGTCGCCTGTTCGAGTGCACAATCCACTGCGTTCGGTATTCCCCGTCTGGCGAACATCTTGCCATCGCGTCAGAGGAGAACATCAATATATACAATCCAGCCACAAGGCAATGCGTCGCAAAATTCAAGGGTCACAGACGTGAGAACTTAGCACTCGCGTGGATGCCCGATGGCACACGGCTGCTCTCGGGAGGCAGTTATCACGATCCAAACATACGGGAATGGGATCCATTGACCTGGCAGCAGGTCGGCAATCCATGGACGGACGATACTTATATGAAATGCGTCCGCACCATTGCCATTCATCCCACTGGCACCCTTGTCGCGTTTGTATCTGGAGATGGTGATGTTCGGCTCTGGCGGATCTCGGATCGACGAACCATCGCCGTCTTCCGCTCAAAGCGCACTATAGGAGGCGTGCAGTGTCACGGTGTCACCTTCTCCACTGATGGCGGGCACATCCTTGGCCACAGAGATTATGATAACGCAATCTCAGAGTGGGCAGTACCCAAGGACGCGTTGGGGGAGGATGCTTCCGGTGAACAGCCATCAAAGGTACTCTCCTGTTGATTTCCTGCCCCCTTCGTCATCTCATCTTGAGCAAGGATGCTTTGCCGAAGGATATTCCAGATGATAACGCGACAAAGAACACAAGTCAGCATCGGATCATCGTAAGCACCCAGTGATTTACTATCCCTTCGTCAGCTCATCTCGCGTGTTTTATGACAAGCCTCAATGTTTCGAGGCATGTATTTGATTTGACAGGACAACGCCAATATTAATATGCCTTATGCAGATCCTCGTTATGAACTCGAGAGTCCGCAATGCGTGCATATCTGGGGACTTGCCCACCGCCGAACAGTCGCTCACACAAGAGATCGATGATAATTCCAAGAACTACGTCTCCTACGCCAATCGCTCATTCGTTATGGCGAGAAAGTTGGACTGGGACCAAGCGCTTCATGATGCAACTGCCGTAAGATACATCGACCTGTGATACTCCACATCGTTAGGCTAACTCGGATCATAGTCTGTCAGCATTAAGCCCTCCCTCATAGGCTATTTCACCAAGGGCCTCGCCCTCTGCGGCAAACAACAGTTCTGGGACGCAACGAAAGCCTTTGACCTCGCGTTCACATTCACGGACGGAGATTCAAAGAAGGCTCATTACCTTTTCTTGATTAAGGCAGGTAGCTTTCCTATTCGTACGCCGTGCTTGATAACAGTTTTCAGTCCATCGCATTTTTCAATGCAAATCAAGATGAAGAGGGTGTGCTCCCCGTCCAAGAACTAGCTATCCGTCCCAATCCTGATCCTCTGGCTTGTCGTGTCGTGGAAGTAAGTATCACGTATTTGGTCAAGTCTCGGTTCGTGTGCTCACTTATTTTTTTTGCGCTTCGCACACCAGGCGTATATGCGAGTCCAGCTGGGAACCATTGCCGCGAATGGCGCCCGTCACCATGAAGCTGCTGATCACTTCACTGCCGCTGTCGAAGCAGGTGCTTTCTTCTCTAAATTGGACATTCATTCTATGTATGAGGATTTTGTCGTGGTGCGTTAATTTAATCAACCTGGCGTCGCTGTTATGCTTAACTGCGCGCGCTTTGCAGCTTTTTGGCTGGGATCTCGAGTCCTTGTGGGAAGTTGCAAATCTGAAACGGTTATATGCACTACTCCGGACAGCCCGATTTGGGGCAGCCCTCGAATCTTACCGACACATGATGGACATGAGTGACGAACCCACGAAGGCCCACTTTCTTGCTTGGACGTCTGGCAAGTTTTCGGTAATGTTACCCGTGCGACGATGCTGACTTGTATTTCCATCAGATCTTGATAAATGTATATATGAGAATGCACTGGAGCGCGCGAGTGCGAAGGATGTGTAGACCGCTGGAAGGTATTGGAAGAATATAGTTAGCTGATAGATAACGAGAGTGTAATGATGAGGAACGGGGCAAGACAGAGATGTTAGTTGTTGACTAAGGATAATACTGATGGGTAGCGAGTGCGGGAATGAGACGTCGATGCTGATTATAATTGCGCTAGAATGTAGGAAATGTACTTATACTGAAAAACGGTAAGGGTCCTCAGGTACGATTAAGCCCAACGATGTATTACCATTTAATAAATTATGTGGCGACGGAGGCTACAAATTGCGAATATGGACCAGACGAAGCAATGCGATATAGTAGAACTACACACCAATATGTATGAAAACCATCCTCTGCTCGAGCGGCACCTTCGTCTTCACGGCGTGAGTAGCACGGTTCAGTGCCCAAGCCGCCTTCGTACAGTCCATGAACTCGCCATCCCCCAACTTCTTGGCCATATTCTCATAGAAAGCTTCAACGACGTGTTTTGCGACAGCATAGTCAACCTCCCACAGCGTGCCAACGACGCTTTTGAACCCTGAAAACTGAAGTCCAGCTGCAAGATGAATGACTTCGTCGGGTGTCTCCTTATCACCGGCGGCGGTATGACACGCCGAAACGCGAACTCAGCATGCGGAATATCTTTCTCCATGATGTCGAGTAACGTGAGAGGTGCGTCCATCATGACGAAATGGGAATTGTACGGCTAGTCGTAGTCCTGCTTGCCGTGACAAGCGAGATGCACCCAAATGTTCTGTTCCAAGGCTTCAAGTGCGCCTGCTCATGTGGCTGCGCTGCCAGAAAGAGTGGAACGGTTGGCTGTCGCAGGGACAAGCTCGATCCAACTGTCGACAGCTAAGAGTGCCTTGCCTTTGCCTGTACGCGGTTGACCCTGTCCGATAGCCACGAAGGACGGAGTCGCACCCTTCTTCATCATCTGCCTAGATCTGATCAGCGCCGAAAGTGTTGGCGTGTAAGAACAGATGTAGAGATCCTCCAGACACGGCTCCTTTCCAGAGCGATCTGCCTTTGTTCGAAATGGGCGAGCTGCGTGAAGAGGAATGGATGTGAAGGCCGCAGTTGGACACAGTCATATTCGAGACTGGCGCTTTAATTTAAGGGTATGCTCGAGTACGTTGACGACGGGTAGCATGATATCGTCCCATACCGCCCGCTAGAGGACAATCAGATCATTGCGCGGCTGGTTTAGGCCCATCTTCGAAGCTTGCGGTATTGCCCTGGCGAACCGATCCTTGAGATCCTCGAGATCTGCGGGGGCGATAGATGGCAAGGCAACATTATGGGGCTCTCCTGACGTCGGGACAATGATGGCGCTGCACGAGTATTTGCTGCCAATGAGAATGATGACTGGGCCATTGAGAGCTGCAACTTGCAAGTCTTCGTACGAAGGTGGAAGTAGGAACCGCGAGAATCCGATTGCGCGGTAAGTCTCCTATACTATGTTGCTGCTTGATCAGCAGCGGCTCTGTCGGTGATGGCTGCAGAACCCTTAGCAGCGTTGGAAACGCGCTTGCTCAGCTCCAAAAAATTGCGGGCCAGATGTGGATGTCCCGATTCGAGGTCTTCAACTGGAGTCTTGAGTCGGGAGGCCAATGACCACTGTTGCCCACGGCCCTGCTCTGCAAGGACGCAATGCAAGTGATGTATGGAAGAGGAAAGTGGGGGTATCAATGTCATGGAGATGGTTTCGAATATAGCCTAGAAGGCGGGCCCATGCGAAGTTGGTGAGAGCTGCTGCGTAGTCAGGATGGTCGACCGAACAGCGGTCCATAACCGACTGAAAACGTTGTAAAGCATCGTTCAGGTGAGAGACTGTCTTGCTGGTAACGTATTCGGCATATCGTGCGTGGCCCGCATCTGTCTCTCGAGCAATCTCGCAGTCTACGAGGGACTACAGTTGGTGCTCCGTCAGCAAAAGCTAACCGCAGAGGCTAGCATCACCCACGTCAAATAGTGCATTGTCCTTGTTATCGCAAGCGTGTACAACAGCGGCCTTCAGCGTGAGCGAAGGAGTGACACCGCGGATGGGTGGGAAGGACAATTCTACGGGATGTGAGTGGATAAGCATGGATGAGAAGTAGGTTACTCACCGAATGGTTCATCTCCATGATCGAGCAGGTCATCCCACGATGTTTGAAGTTTTCCGATGACTTCGCCATTGCCAAGCATTCGGTCGACCTCATAGGAAATCTCCACTGATAATGAAGGTGATGCATGTGTTCTATAAATTGAGGATGAGTTCTCGAATCGCGTCCGAAAATTTTGAGGGACTTTACAGGGTCACGGTATCTCCCCACGCTACAGATTTGTCGGATGAGAAGACTCTGATGGATGATTTTCAGCGTGTCCTTGAGTCGACATTGATGGACACGTAAATGCCTGCGGGTATGCGCTCAGAAGGGACTTGAAGGTTTTTTGTGCTTCTGACTGTAGATAGAGTGTGAGGATCTCAAAGAGATACGAAAGTGATACAGAGTGACCTACCTTCTAGTCTGATATATTGTCCTTCCCAGCTTCCGGGCATGAGGGTGCAATAACGCATTATGGTAACGAGGATTGAAGTTGAGGTTAGTGGTAGGTGATACGAGTGGTAGGAGAAGATGGTGTAGGAGTACTGTGGATGGATTTTGGCTGAGAGGGAGAGAAGAGGTTGATGGTTTAGGTGATGGCTACACGACGTGTATTTCCATGTTGTTGAGGGGCGTTCGGCACGATGGACGCTGGTATGATTACACTACGTGCTGAGACCAAAGATGACCGAGTAGAGTTAGTGGGAGAACATGTGGGTGGGGAATACGGAGGTCAGACACGTCAGAAAAAGTGGCACGCCAACATTATGCGAGACTGAGCGGCCTGTGATGTTTGCTTCTCCTGGACTAATTGGTACGACACATTTAGCACACCAAGGAAAAATGTAGAATTGAGTTGATTTCGTAATTAAGGTCATGCAAACGATGCACACAGAAAAGCTGAATGATGTGAGTACGATGGAGCTGACAATGCCATAGGGGAAGGTAACACCACCTGGGGGACGGTTTGCGAGAGTGTGAGTCGGATCTAGATGATATAGCTGAATGCGACGATACAGCGAGTGACGAATTCGAGCATGAATGTGTCCTGGAACAAGAGTCAGAAGCAATTAATAGCATCAGTATTTACTAAATACCCAGGCAGCATGTCTGCCGTTGGACAAGCGTGTTTTCCTGAGTAGTGCTACCAGACTCAGCTGGGTACAGTTAACGTTTCGAGTCAAGAGTTAAATCTCAGTAGTCAACCACCACTGTAACGTCAGCAGGATTTGTCATGCGGCAAATTTTGCTCTGGTCGCTGGACGACAATTCATAAGTCATCCCTGCGGAAGACACCGTAACCATCTCATACCCGTTCTCCCCATTAAAACATCCTTTCTCGGGCTACCGAGCAGCTTTCATCTATTGTCGACGGAGCCATCTGGATTCTGGAGTACTGGCTCTCCGAGGTTCTCCTACACTCCGAGATTGGCGCGTGCTATGCTATGAGATGATGGATTATGGATAGTGTCCATTATGCGGGTTATGAGGTGAGCTGCAAACGGCGCGGACTATTTTTCTATTCACTTCTCTCTATTCCGGATACTACCTACCACTTACTCTGCCCACAATGTATTCATTAGGCTTCACACGCTCATGTTCCTTCATTATTAGCAGTGGACACAACATGCAGATGCGCTATAGCGCGTGTGTCTAGCTGGCCAATTTCTCGCTCCATTGAGACAGTATGAGACTGTTGACAAACTCAATGTCGTGATCGATGAGACCATAAAATTTTCAAAGGTACCAAGTGTGTCCCGGTGTCAAACGCACCAACACTGGCACGGAGGGAAACCTGAAAATCCTGGAATTGCAGTTAATTCAGGTCGGAAGCATATGAAAGACTGTTGTTTGCGCCAAACGGCCATAAAATATTGTGCCTGTCCGCGATACTGGATTATCAACGGTTGAAGGATTAGGGTCCATTCGATAGTGTTGCTCAGCACCTGGCATTAGGAAAACATATTTGTCTTATCTGTAAAGCCGCGGCGAAGCAAGCCGGACGCATACCAGGCGCTTATGATAACAGCCTCGTGTGTTGGGCGTCTGACGAGGTTAATACCGGTATGAAGACGCCCAATGACTTACTGTACTCACCTTTGCAATTTAGAGCAATCTCAGCCACAAGATGACCACAATCCCTCCAACAAGTTCACCTCGATCATGCTCAACGCCACAAACTTGTATCAAAAAACCACAGATCACCAAATCACTTCCAGCATTTGAAGATTATAAAGAAGGCGTAAATTCACTCGCAGTTTTGCCTGATGGACGGCGTATGGTCTCCTGCTCGAAAGACAGGACGCTTCGTCTGTGGGACTTGAACACAGGTGATGTGATGAAGAAGATGGAGGGACACTACGATAAAGTACGGAGCTTGGCGGTATCACGAGATGGGAAATTGATAGCAAGCGGTGATAAGAGGGGAGAGTTCATTGCCTGGGAGGGAGAAAGTGGCGAATCTCTCACCGAAGCCATCAAAGCCCACTTCTATGCGATTTCAACACTTGACTTTTCTCCCAATGGCGCAGTACTGGCCACTGCCAGTTCATCATCGGATGAGGTGAAGCTGTGGAGTACAGAAACATGGCAATTCCATGGTCTAATCGTGTGCAGTGGCCAATATCGCGACATAACCCACTGCGTTCGGTATTCCCCGTCTGGTGAACATCTCGCCATCGCGACAACGAAGAACGTCGAAATATATAATCCAGCCACAAGGCAATGCGTCGCAAAATTCAAGGGTCACAAAAATGAGAACTTAGCACTCGCGTGGATGCCCGATGGCACACGGCTGCTCTCGGGAGGCTGTTATAACGATCCAAACATACGTGAATGGGATCCATTGACCTGGCAGCAGGTCGGCGATCCATGGACGGACGATACTTATATGAAATGTGTCCCCACCATTGCCATTCATCCCACTGGCACCCTCATCGCGTTCGCATCTGTAGGTGGTCATGTTGGGCTCTGGCGGATCTCAGATCGACGAACCATCATGATCGCCGTTTCCAACTCGGACCCGGGCTGCACCCTGCAGCGTGTCACCTTCTCTACTGATGGCAGGCGCATCCTTGGCTGCGGATGGCTTGATGAGATAATCTCAGAGTGGGCAGTACCCGAGGACGCTTTGGCGGAGGATGCTCCCAATGAACAGCCCCTTCGTTATCTCATCTCGCGCAAGAATGCTTTGCCGAAGGATATTCCAGATGATAACGCGACAAAGAATGCAAGTCAGCATCAAATCATCGTAAGCACCCAGTGATTTACTATCCCTTCGTCACTGCTCATCTAGCGTGTTTTATGACAAGCCTCAATGTTTCGAGGCATGTCTTTGGTTTTACAGGACAACGTTAATGTTAATATGTATTGTGCAGATCCTCGTTATGAACCCGAGAGCCCGCAATGCATGCATTTTTGGGGACTTGCCCACCGCCGAACGGTCGCTCACACAAGAGATCAATACTGATTCCAAGAACTACGTCTCCTACGCCAATCGCTCATTTGTTATGGCGAGAAAGTTGGACTGGGACCAAGCGCTTCATGATGCAACTGCCGTAAGATACATCGACCTGTCCCCACGTTGTTAGGCTAACTCGGATCGTGACATAGTCTGTCAGCATTAAGCCCTCCCTCATAGGCCATATCTGCAAGGGTCTCGCCCTCTGCGGCAAACAACAGCTCTGGGACGCAATGAAAGCATTTGACCTCGCGTTCACGTTCACGGACGGAGATTCAAAGAAGGCTCATTTTCTTTTCTTGATCAAGGCAGGTAGCTTTTCTATTCGTACGTCGTGCGTGATAACAGTTTTCAGTCCTTCGCGTTGTTCAATGCAAATCAAGATAAAGAGGGTGTGATCCCCGTCCAAGAACTAGCTATCCGTCCCAATCCTGATCCTCTGGCTTGTCGTGTCGTGGAGGTAAGTATCACGTATTTGGTCGAGTCTCGGTTCGTGTACTCACTTATTTTTCTGTTCTTCGCACACCAGGCGTATATGCGAGTACAGCTGGGAATCGTTGCCGTGAATGGCGCCCGTCACCATGAAGCTGCTGGCCACTTCACTGCCGCTGTCAAAGCAGGTGCTTTCTTCTCTAAATTGGACATTCATTCTCAGTATGAGGATTTTGTCGTGGTGCGCTGATATTATTCAACCGAACATGTTGATATGCTCATTTACACGTTGTGCAGCTTTTTGGCTGGGACCTTAAGTCCTTGTGGCAAATTGCAAATCAGCAACGGTGCCATGCACTACTCCGGACAGCCCGATTTGGGGCAGCCCTCGAATCTTACCGACACATGATGGACATGAGTGATGAATCCACGAAGGCCATCTTTCTTGCTTGGACGTCTGGCAAGTCTTCAGTAATGTTACCTGTGCGATATCGTGATGCTGACTCGTATTTCCATCAGATCTCGATGAATTTGAATGAAGCGCATTCTACCACTGTCAACGGAGATGCTGCGTTTTAGTTACCCATGCATATTGTAACACGGAGATCTCTACGTCATTCTGATTTGCACCACGACATTACCTTTGAGTTAGAGAAAGACATGAAATGTACTACAACCCAAAGATAGTCGCAGGAGATCGTTACTCCGTAAGCTGAGACCCACTAGTTGTAGTTCGTTCATCTAAGAGATAAGTCTCATCGACATTACTGGCTAACCCATGCTCCAATAGGCATTTGGAGTAAGCAAGGCGAATTCCAGCTCACGGGTACTTATTGTGCGGGAACTTGGTTGATTCTTGGCCCGTTGCCAACTGGTCCTGTGGGCACGAGTTGGTTGTGGTGATGAGTGTGAGCATGTCCTGAATTACTGGGTACGGACTGACTCCATAACTGGTGCGTCTCTCCAAAACGTCGGTTTGAGACTACCAAGACATAATTTGCTGCGCTCCGCGTAGCCCAAATCGTGAGCTTGGCTTTGACGATTAAGGTTTAAAGCTTGAACACGGAAAGAAGAAATATATATATACGTGCTGTTGTATGGGATGTGATGAGACTACACCAGGAGAGAAGGTAAATATGGATGTGACGACGGAAAGTGACGTATTCACAATAGTATATGGGCTTACCAAGCTCCCAAGATATGGGAAGAGGGTAAATGCCTTTGAACATTCTACTCTCCCGATCTGCTGAGCTGGAAGTGAGTCAATTTCTGAGGGAAATATACGTCTAGCACACCTATGCATTGCGCAGCTTCGTTATCAAGCAGAAATTGGGCCACGTTAGATATGGATATCGCCCGTTATTCCGAGCATAGGTGAAACGTATATGTACGTGCACATCCGACATCCATTTTTGGCAGATTGGTCGGCCGAGCGATGCGTGTAAGTGGGGTATTCACGCAGGAATACGTGCTAGCCACCGCAGATGTTTCTGCAAATACAAAGCGACATATGAATAGACATACTTCACGTGACCCTCGCTACGGTGTGCTCGAATAAAATCGACGCGTTTCCGCAATGTCATGCTCGTCATTGACGGTAGGGAGCCATGATTTCGAGATGCATCAGCGGAGAGTTCGAAGATATCAAATAGGTGGGAATACATATGTTCCTGATTCTATGTCTGCGGTAGTTGCCCGTGGCCACACAAACCACATTTAGTAGTGAACGCAACTGCCAACCATATATAGCGATGGGCGTGTCACATGCAGGAAGGAAGCGTACGACCTCCGGGACGTGGAGGGGATTTAAAGGTCGTTGCGCAAATCAGATTTGAGCTGGCAAGGGCTTGGATATTGGTCTCAACGGTTGAAGGACCAAGTCTATTCAATAGCGCTGTTCAACACCTACCTGTAATGAAGAGTCGGTCCTGGCACGAGGAGACTCATCAGTGGCAACACGAAGGCGCCTATGATAACAGCTGAATGCGTCTTGGGAATTCTGATGAGGTTAATGCTGTGGAGCAGTATAAAGACGCCCAATGAACGCACCTCTGCAACTTAGCACAAGACCGCCACAATCCCTCCAGCAAGTCCATCTTGACCGTACTGAATACCATCAGCCTCCAGGAAAATGTCGAATTTCTTCATGCCCGGCATCGCACCCGCCCGAGAGTTTGAGGATCATTATCAAACAGTACTCGCAGTCGCAGTTTTCCCTGATAGACAGCGTATGGTCACCGCCTCGTCGGACTCCTGGCTTCGTATGTGGGACTTGAGGACGGGTGTATTGTTGAAGATGATGGCAGGGCATAATAGTGAGGTGTGGGCATTGGCGGTATCACAAGATGGGCAATTGATAGCAAGCGGTGATGATAAGGGAGAGGTCATTGCCTGGCATGGAGCAACTGGTGAATATCTCACCAAAGCCATCAAGACCCAGTCCGGAATCATATCGTTGGACTTTTCACCCAGTGGTACAGTGCTAGCCACTGTTTCAATGGACCAAAAGGCCAAGTTATGGGACACGAAAACCTGGCAGTTGCAAGGAAGTCCGATCCTGTGTAATGATCGTATCTTCTGCGTCCGTTATTCGCCTTCTGGCGGACATCTTGCTATCTCAACAGCCAAGAATATTGAGATTTATAATCCAGGCACGAGGCACCGTGTTGCAAAATTTAACGGTCATGGCTCGTACAACTGCTCGCTCGCCTGGACACCCGATGGCACAGGCCTTCTTTCATCCGGCAATTATGAAGATCCTACCATACGGGAGTGGGATACATCCACCTGGGAGCAGGTCGGCGATGCTTGGACAGGACACACTAACGATATCAATGTCATTGCCATTCATCCTGCTGGCACGCTCGTCGCTTCTGCATCTGATGACAAGCAAGTCCGTCTATGGCGCCTCTCAGATCAACGAACGATCTCTGTCTTCCAGCACTCTGACCGGGTGTGCTGTGTCACTTTCTCTATGGATGGCAAGCACATACTCAGCGGAGGTGATGATCAGAAGATCTCAGAGTGGAATGTACACCGAGATGCTTTGCCGGAGGATACTCACAAGTCAAAGGTGCTTTCCCCATCGATATCCCACTTCGTCATGATCGTTCATCTCATCCTTCGTCCTTTTTGATTTCAAGGCTCAAAGTTCTGATTCAAAGGTACGTTTCCATCATTAATATTGACTCTGATAATCCAATTCAAGCATACCGCAGATCCTCGTTATCACCACGAGCGCCCGCAATGCATGCATTTCTGGGGAATTGTCTACAGCTGAAAAGATACTCGCGCAAGAGATCACGGCCAACCCCAACGACTACACTTCCTATGCCACTCGCTCATTCGTTATGTCACGCAAACACGACTGGGACCATGCTCTTCGAGATGCAAATGAAGTGAGTTATCATGCACCTTCACATATGCTAACATCGACCCTGGCATAGTCAATTCGCATAAATCCATCGTTAACTGGTTATATCGCCAAGGGCATTGCCCTCTACGGGAAAAGGCGGCTCCAGGATGCCATGAAAGCTTTTGACCTCGCGTTCACATCAGCTGACGGTAATTCAAGGACAACTCATTTCCTTTTCTTGATCAAGGCAAGTTATGCTTTTATTGCACACTCCACGCTTCATTATGTATTTCAGGCTATCGCACTATTCAACGCAAATAAACACGAGGAGGCCATGCTGCGCGTCCAAGAACTAGTCACCGATTTTCCCGATATTGATCCTGTTGCTTGTCGTGTAGTTGAAGTGAGTATCAAGTCCAGGTCCGTACGCTGACACTGATCATGCCGCACTTCCCGGATCAGGCGTATCTCCGTGTCCAACTGGGAACCATTGCCTTGGGTAGCTGGCTTCGTAAGGCTGAAGCTGTTAATCACTTCACTTCCGCTGTCAGGGCTAGCGCCTTCTTTTCGAAATCGCCAATTCATCATATGTATGGGGATTTCACCGTGGTACGTTGATATGATGCAACAGACAATCCTTTTCATGCTTAACTGCGTGTTTTTTGCAGCTCTTCGGGTGGGACCTCGAGTCGTTGTGGCAAACAGCCCACAAGGAACTATGTCGTGCACTTATTCGGGCAGGTAGAGTTGGAGAAGCATTCACGACGTACGAATCTATGGTGGACGCGAGTGATGAAGCAACGAAGGCGAGCTTGCGTGCTTGGTTCGCTGGTAAGTCTTCAGCGATGTCGCACGCTGCGATTCTCAACCACGTTTCAATTAGCTCTCAAGAAAGAATGAAGGTCGCTGCATTCTGCCCATGAAGATGCTACCCTCGACGCGACACGCATTTTGAATCACGGAGATCTATTGTATAGTTACTCAGCATTGCATTTATTCTTTTGTAAATTTATCGTATGACGGCTCAAAGTATAAAAACAGACCAAATATTTCATGTACAACGCTTACACACCCCGAGTCCCTCCCTACCGCCTACTATGAATCGCATTTGTGCCATACGGCAGCTCGTTCACCCGGCGCATACCCTTTTTCAAATTCTTGAAGTCCAAGGTAGATCTTAACCTTCGATCGAGAGTCGCAGCATTCCTCCACCATGCGTTCCTTCAACTCACATCAGACTGCAAACCAAACAATTCCTTCCTGGGCGTGCATTATAATATCAATGCCACCATTCCCGATTCATGGAGTTCGGACCACCACACGACGCTATCGCGATTACCAAGTACTTACGAAGTCATCGTGATCCGCTATGTGTATGGTTATCGTCAATTTCTGATGATGCTAAAGACTGTACACTGTGAGATGCCATGATTAGATGAGAGCACATGTGGGCTCCGAGTCTTCGCCAGATGACTGACAATGTTTGAGTTGACCTCACTCGATATCATGTCCTGACCTTGGCTGCGTGGTTGCACTTGGGGAGTAATGGATTTGAGCTCGCATAACGGCCGTGAAAAACTGTGAGTGCCCGCGATTGGTTTTCTTGATGGTTGAATGATGCGGCCATTGGGTCCATTTGAGAGTGCTGTCGAACACTTGGAGTAATAATAAGCGTCATTGAATCACTCCGTTCGCACCTATACGCGGACTGCACCGTCATGGGGGCTACACTTGTATTTTTGTTTTGAAGACGAGCAGAAATTGGAACGCGGGTGCTTCTTGAGCGGTAGGTGATTGAGCGCGGGCGTTCATTGATAGTAATATCATGGTGGGGAACATGGCAACACGGGCACTGTGGACGGCACAAGGAGCAGGTAACGAAAAGGATGATAAAATAACGTACTGAATCGGTAGTTTCCGGGCTGTGGCCTCCAACGGATACACGCCCGTCCGATAGCGCAGAGTCTGAACGACTGATTATCGATCGTTTTCAATTCAGATTGCAGCAAAAAGATAGTGCCGACCCCAAATGAAATCAAAGGAAGCAGCCCGCATGGGGCTTGTCATGTAAAAGAACAGAAGCCGACATGTGTCTAGATAATTGAGGTGCAAGCGTAGCCGGTAAGATGAATATTCATGCATTGTGTCTTCCTATCTGCCTCGTGGGGGCCTGCAGTGAAAGTGAACTGTAGCTGGAATAGAGTTGATTGGCTTTCGGGTATAGCATGTTCAAGGGTAGTTCGGGTCATATTAATAGCAGTGGTACCAGTAAGGCAGTAACAAATCGTGACGGAATTGAAACCATAACGACTGTCGAAGATTGTG